GACAGCTTGGAGTAGGTCACCTTGAGGTTGTCCAGGTTCTTGATGGCTTCTCCGAAGGAGGTSAGCACCTTCTTGCCATGGGCACGGACCTTAGGATTGCCAATGATGGCCGTGGGGCTGGACAGGTTCCCAAAGTTGTCAAAGAACCTCTGGGTCCAGGGGTAGACRATCAGCAGCCTGGGCAGAGACAYGACACACACAGACACGTCAGCGCTGCGGTGGCTGCAGTGCTTTCCCTGTGCGCTGCAGCCGGAGCTGGACCCACCTGGCCAGKGCCTCGGCGCCGCATTCCTCCACGTTGACCTTGGCCCAGACGCTGGCGATGAGCTGCTTCTCCTCGGCTGACCAGTGCACCATGGTGGCGGCTTTGCTGGGCTCTGGGAGGACACCGACCCTGTAGCTGAGCCCAGAGCCCGCCGGGGCTTTTATCCCCTGAGTGCAGCCCCTCCCCGGCACGGCCAGCGGGGCCATTGGCCGGACAGGCGGGGGTCCCCAGCGGGGGTCAGGCTGCCCACCCAGTGGTCACCCTGCACTGAGGTGTGGTCCTCGAGGAAAGGCCTGTGAGTCCCTTAACAGGCCAGCTCAGGGCTCAGGCCAGCTCTTATCTCCCTGTCCTTCACCCCTGGCTGCCTGTTCACCACCAGGCATGGATATTCCACCCATCCCTGMAGCAGGCACAGACCCCTCAGGGAGTGCTTTGGAATCGTGGAATTGCCTGGATTGGAAAGGGCTTTGAGGCTMATCCTGCTCCATGCCCTGCCATGGACAGAGCACCTTCCTCCAAATGAGGAGTGTCCAACATGGCCTTGGACACTGCCAGGGGTGGTGTTAGTGAAGCAGAGGTCACATCCTCAGCTCCAGGTTTCCAGGAATTCCTGTATGGGATGCCAGGGCAGGCTGCAGCTGTGAACAGGCTCCTCTGCTCTTTCCATGTGTGCCCAGTGTTAGCCCTTCATTGGTCTCTCCCAATTTTTCCTGGGAATTAAAAGTCTTGCACACGGACACCAGCACTCCGCCATGTCATAGCCCGATGGGCAACATCCCTTGCCACCAGGTCAAGGTCTGGCTAAAGGCTTTTGTTTGACTCTGTCTGTCACCTGCACAGGTGTTTTCCTGGTTGCCAGGCCTCGGGTGAAGTTCCCACGCTCAGAAAGGCAAAGCCAGCATGAATGAGGTGTCAGGCACCTGGACAAAACCACGGACACTGGAAATGCTCCAGGCTGGGCTGGATGGGGCTTGGACCAAAGTGCTCTAGTGGAAGGTGTCCCTGCCCACTGCAGGGAGCTGGAACTGGRTGATTTTTATGGTCTCTTCCAACCCAAACCATTCYATGATTCTTTGAATCTGTGACTTTGGGTCTGTCTGTGGGYAGTTTAGGAAGTTTCATGMGGACCTCTGAGATATTCCAATTACAGATTGATACTGGTTCATTGATCTGAGAAGGCTGGAGAGGGACTTTTAAATGGGCAGGCAGAAATAGGACAAGGGGGAATGGCTTCCCAGTACCAGAGGGCAGGGCCAGATGGGATATTGGGCAGGAATTGTTCCCTGGGAGGGTGGGCAGGCCCTGGCACAGGGTGCCCAGAGAAGCTGTGGCTGCCCCTGGATCCCTTTGAGTGCCCAAGGCCAGGCTGGACATTGGGGCTGGGAGCAGCCTGGG